GTCTCCTTTAAATTGTCTGTTCCTATAAATGGTCCCTGCTCCTTTAAATCACACACTGAATCCCTTCTCTCTGTTGTCCCTGCTATGGGATCTGTCTGGATCTTTTTCAGCATTTTCAGACTTACATTTAATCTTTCTGGATTTAATCTTTCTGGTGTTTGCTCCAAATCACTTTTAGGTCCCTTCATCAGCCTCTCTGTCTTCTGTCTCCCACCCAGTTTTTCTAAGTTTACCTGACCAGCTGTGAGGGCATGCATAGGTGGTAGCAGGAGGGATTGTGCTCCAGGATTGATCATTTTTCTTTTTGTTAACAGCTATGTGTAGCTTCAACATTTTCTGTCTTCAAGTTATGCAGGGACATGGTTTTGTATAAAAAATATTTTCCCTCCTTGTTCTCTTATTGTTTGGGGAGAAAACTGGGATATAATTGGCTATACAGCTGTCACAGTACTCAGATATTCAGAGGTCTTATTTCCTCTAATTTTTAAAAAAGACTCTGTATAAGACTGATATTATTTTTTTCTTAAATGTTTGGTAGAATTCACCAGCGAAACCATCAGGGCCTCCAGTTTGCTTGGTAGAAACATTTTTGATAATGAATTCAATGTCTTTTAAAAGTATAGAGCTATTCAGTATTTCTATTTCTTCTCGAGTCATTTGCGAAAATTATATTTTTAAAGGGATTTGTCCATTACATTATATTTGTCCACGTACATTACCAAATATATTAGCTTGAAGTTGTTCATAATATTTCCTATTCTCATTTTTAATATCTGTAGAATTTGTAGTCATACCTCCTCCTTCATTCCTGATATTAGTAATTTGTGTTTTCTCTCATTTTTTTTTTCTTGACTAGTCTTGCTAGGGCATTATAAATTTTGTTATCTTTTTTAATACCTGGCTTTAGAATTGTATTGTGTGTATGTCTTATAAATTTCTTTGTTTCTACTTACTTTGGGTTTAGTTTATGCTTCTTTTTTGCAGCTTCTTCAGATAGAAACTTAATTTTTCTTACTTTAAATCCTTTTTGCTAGTTAGGTATTCAAAGTTATAAATTCCTCTGTAAGTACTTTAAATGCATCCCACAAATTTTGATATGTTGTATTTTCGCTATGCAGTTTGAAATACTTTCTTTGACCCATGGGATATTTAGAAACGTGTTGCTTAATTTATAAATACTTGAGGATTTTCTAGATACATTTTTCTTATGGATAATTCATTGGTAGAGAATATACCTTGTAATTTCAATCTTTTGAAATTTATTGAGACTTAATTTATGGCCCAATTTATATCCTACCTAGGTGAATGTTTCATGTTCGTTTGAAAAGAATTATACTTTGCAGTTGTTTGGTGCAGTGTTTTATAAATGTCAATTAAGCCAAGTTAGTTGATAGTGTTCAGATCTCTACATCTTTATTAATATTTTGTATAGTTGTTTTAACATTAGTGAGCAAGGAATGTTAAAATCAACTACGGCTGTGGGTTTGTCTATTTTTCATTTTAGTCTGTCAGCTTTTGCTTCATGTATTTTAAATGTCTGTCATTAGGTAGAAACACATTACAGATTAGATATCTTACAAATGAATTGCTCCTTTATAAACATTATGAAGTGCCTCCCCGTTATCTCTAGTAATACTCTGACTTGAAGTCTACTCTGTATGATATTAATACACCAAAACCACTTTCTTATGCTTGTTGTTTACAGAGTATATTTTTTCCCTTTGTTTTACACTTTATCTGTGTCTTTAAAGTGTGTCTCTTTTTAGAAAGCTTATAGTTGAGACTTGCTTTTTTACTCAGTCTGATAATCTCTGCCTTTTACTCGGAGTATTTGGTCCATTTGCATTTAATGTAATTATTGATATGGGTGGGGGTAAGTTTACCATTTCATATTTGTTTTCTTTTTGTCCCTTCTGAACTTTTTTGGGTTTTGTTTGTTTACTCTGTTGTGTTTTTCTTGCCTTCTTTTGGACTAATCAATATTTTTAAATATTCAATAGTATTTCATCTAAGCTTTGTGGCTCTACCTCTTATTATTATTTTCTAAGCAGCTGGGCCAAAAATACACATCCATAACTTATCAAAGTCTACCTAGAGTTAACGAGGTATCACTTAATCCTGCCACCACACATCTGACACTTTCCATTTCTGATGATCATTCTGACATTTTCTGTCTTGAAACAGAATTTAGGACTTAACCATATCAATAATTACAAAATGAAAATACACAAATACTCCAATTAAAAGACATAGATAATCAAGACTGGATAAAAAAGCAAGACCCAATTATAAGCTGTCTAAAATCTCAACCTCTAGGAGAGGGTACCTGAAAGAAAGAATCACAGAAACAGACCAAGGGACATGTGGGTAAGGGCCACAAATTTCAGAGCTGGGATCATAGCATGACAAAATCTGAGCCCTGTGAGGAGTGCACATTGCCTTCCTGGCTCACTTTCCAGGTATGCTGGGACATTCCACTGCACATTCTGCCATCTAATTAGGTATTTTCCAAAAATCATTCATCAGAAAGCACGCCCAGGTCCTTCTGAGCAAGGTGAGGTGGCTACACATTCACTTGCAACTTGCAATTTCTCCAAATGGCAGAGGCTCCTAAGGAGAATTTTAGCCTGACCCACATTGACCAACAGGGGCACAGAGCAGATTTACCTGCTGGGTACCAGTAGCAACACAGGAAGATGAGCCAGAAAAGGCTAGAGCCAGGCTGTACCACCTATGAGCTGTGTGACCTTGGGCGAACCACTTCAGGCTCTGAGTTACGGGGTCCTCATCTACAATGGGCACAGGAAAGCCTAGGGCTGCTGTTTATGTGAACGGTGCCCTCTGCAGGAGTGCAGTGCATATTCTGAACAGCCACAAGTGGAGGCCCTGATAAAGCCCACTTTGCAGAGGTGCTGTGAGCAGTTTTTGAGGTAGAGTGTTAAAAACAACGATCTCAGAGCCTGACAAGTGAGCAGAGTAAATCAATTATGGTCCATCCATCCAGTGGAATACCATACAGCCATTAAAACTCATGATTGAGACCTCTGTTTACTGAGGCAGAAAGCTCCTCATGCTTTATTGTAAATGGAAAAATGCAGCCTATACCAAGGATAATTTGATCTGGTTTCCATCACAACAAATATGGATATATATGCAGAGTTTTTCCTTTGTTAAGATTTCCACATTTTTCTATCATGAACATGCTTTCAATTTGAAATTAGAAAAAAAATAACATTTATTTTTAGTTGGCTCTTTTCCTTTCCATCTATGACTCCTCTCTGAATTTCATCTACAAAATTGAAATAATATAAAAAGAGAAAAAATAGTGCTGCATATATCTTATCCTACTTAGTACCTAAGGCAGGAATTAGGACATTCATTTTATAGAGGAGGAAATGGATTCTTGGAGAGGGCAATGCTCCTGTAGAGAAGGTAATGCTCTCTCTTCACAGGGCTGCCCTGTGGTTTCATGCCAGGAAGGAGCATGGATGTTTGGTGAAGTGTCAGGTGCTCACAGTGGGCAGTAGGATGGCATGGTCAAAGCATGGACTCTGGAGCCAGATGGTGTATATTAAATCCCAGCCGTGTTCCTTCCAGCCTGTGTAACTTTACGTAAGTCATTTCACCTCTCTGAGCCTCAGCTTCCTTTTCTATAAAACAGGGGTAGCAAAAGTGCCATGTTGGAGGGCTGAGCTGAGGATCACATGAGACAGTTCCTGCCCAGAGTCAGCACTTGCTGAGTGAGACCTTTGGTCATATTAATATTCTCTAGTCTAGCTCTGGACTCCTGAGTTCAGCAGGGACTGTCTCTCTCTCTCTGACATACATTATCCAGAGGAAGGGGGACCCTGAGTGGTCACAGAGCAGAGCTTTGTAATCATGTTCCTGCTCTGATGTCCATATATCCCACTCTGCCAGCTTGGTGGGTTAGAGGGATGCTTCCCTATCTGTGCATGCCACACAAAACAGGACACTGTGGACTAGCATTTTCAACAGAGGCAGTGTGGCTCCCAGGGGTGCCTGGGGGTAGTCACAATAAATGGGGGCATGACTAGCACTGAGTAGATGGAGGCCAGAATGGCTAAGCTCCCTGTGCCACTCTCAACAAACGGCTCTACTAAACATTCTTGTGGGTGAAAAACTTTAGACTTAACTGAGGTTAGAATCTGTTTGTCATAAAAACACAAACTATTTCCACACTTCTTAAAAAATACACACTGAATTTTTCTAGAATTCAAACACCAAGTAAATCAAGGCAAGAGCAATTAACCATTTTGTGCAATCACCTCAGCAACAATAACTCTGCCTGTAGTGTGGTTGAAATAAACACTCGCCAATCTATACTTAAGAATGTCACATTCATTGTGATTCTGCATCTTAGAAGAGGGAAAGGGAGAGAGATTCTCCAAGCAGAGGGAACAGTATGTGCAAAGACCCTGTGGTGGGAGGGAGCAAGTGATGTTGCAAAAGCAGACCACCGCGGAGGGGCAGCATGAGGGTGGGGGAATGATGTGGGTGGAGAAACTACAAAGGCTAGGCAACACAGGGCCTTCGGGCCCTGCTAAGAATCCAGCACTATGAGAAGCTAAGAAAAGCTTTTCATCAGAGAAGGACATGGTCAGATTTGCATTTTGAAAGAAGCCAGTCTGCACATGGAACCAAAGGGACAGGAGTGGAGGCTGGGAGGCCAGTGAAAGGTTCCTGCAGTCACACAGGTGAGCAGTGACGGTGGTCTGGGCTGGTGGGGAAATAGTGTTGCTGGGGCAAAGTACACGAAGTGGAGCGACGACCAGGAGGCAGAAGCTATACAACTTGGGGATGTCTTAGATATGGGAGTGAGGAGGTGTCACAGTTTCTCTCCCACAATCCTAGTTTGAGGATGGATGGTGGGGCCACCTTCTAAGACCTGAACCCAGAAGAAGAATGAGCTGAGGAGGTGGATCGCATTTGCACCATGACCATCAATCACCCAAGGCCTCCCTTGCCTTTGGCAGACTTACCTGACTCTGCCACCTCGGCAATGGGCACCCCCTGCTCGTATGCCATGAAGCCCAGGACTGAGAAGATGGCAAAGCCAGCCACAAAGCTGGTGCCACTGTTGAGGCAACAAAGCATGATGCAGTCCCTGTGGGGAAGCAGCGACAGGGGCTGAGGTCAGAGTGGGTGAACAGGTATAGTGCTTGAACATTCTACCTGAGCACCACAGCCATCCTGTGGGGCAGGCAGGGCACAGTGGGCACAGATCGCCCCATTGGCCTGATGAAGCCACTGTGGTTCAAAAAGGTTAGGTGGCTGACCCATGGTCACACAGCTTCTCCAGCATTTCTAGAAGATAAGGTGGGTCACAGACCAGAAGCATGGAAGAGGGATAGGAAGGAAGGCTGGCAAGTGAGAAAATGCACAACTAGGTAGAAGATAACTGGAGACAAAGCAACGCTCCTCCAAATCCCTGGCAGGAGAGGAAAGCAGGGAAAGCGAGAAAGGAGTGATTTCCTGGGAGCTCAAAGCAAGGAGGGCAGGCAAGGCCTCTGAGAAATGGCTGCTTCTCAGTCAGGGGAGCACCCATGGACTTCACACTAGAAGCTCTCACCAGCTTCAGGAGGAGACACCCCATCATGCCAGGCTATTTACTGGAGCAGCACCTCATAGCCCTTGCTGCTCAGTCCCTGCGAGGGAGCGGCCCCTTCCAGGTTGGCCGCCGCACAGAGGGATTATCGGAGCAGGGACTGTCTCTTGCCCTTGGGAGGGGCTTACCCGCAAAGGAGCGCCAGCATAAAGCTGCAACCCAGGAGAAATCAGAGTGTAAACGATGGGCCTTTGCCAAGACAAAGGCAGAACCCTCAAGTCCCGGCCTCCCCTCCCTCAGGCCCGGCATCCTCACAAGGCCACAGTGGGGAATAGGCCTCTTCGAGGCTTCTCAGCACGCACTTGCCAGTTAGGCTTACGGCACACGTGATGCCCCACTTTAGAGGGAGGCGCTCCTCAGTGGCCTGTCCAGCCTCTTGTCTGACTCTGGAGCGTCCCTGTGGTGGCGGCGGGCTGCCTCTGGTCACACCCTAGCAAGCCTCGTCACCTTGTTCCATGGCGCTTTCCCCTGGCTGGCCCGCTGGTCTATGCTGTTTACAGCCGTAAGAACTTCCTCATGTGTGTTTGGCCCGAACCTGCCTTCTCTGGTGAGTTTTAGTTCTGCCCTTCCTATCAGCCTGGAGCTCCTTCGGGTTTGGGAGATCTGAAGAGAGTGGCCTTATATTCCCTTTGAGGTTTTTTTTTTTGTGCTCCTTCAGTTAACTGTCCCAGTTCCTTTACCAGGTCCTCACCCTGCTCATGATCTGTAATACACTCCAGCTTGTCCAGCCCCTCTTCAAATGCCACATCCAGGACTAAGCGCTGGACTCAAGAACACAGCAGAACTCACCTCCTCTTCTCCTGACAGCATACTTTTTGTAGTGTAACCAAAGGTTACACTAACGTTGGTGACTGTTGACACCCAGTTGCCCTGCAATGACTCTGAGAATCAAGGACATATTAGAGAAGGCATGACCATGGGGGTCAGGAGACATGGGCCCCACTTCCCCCTGCAATTCTTTTCTCTGGACCTGAGCTCACCATAAGACAAAATGCTTGATTACAGGGTTTCTTGGGCCTAATGACAGATTATTAATTTTCCCGCAAGTAGTCATCTCCCTCTACCTTCTTCCTTGGGGATGAGTATATTTCCCTGCCCCACTGGCTTTGGGCTTAGCCACACAACTTTCTTTGGCCACAGGATACTAGCAGATGTGACACAAACAGAGGCTTGAGATATGCTTATGTGACTGAACTTGTCCCTTATGCCTTCTGTGATTTGCCAGGAAAGGAACTTCCCCAGGGGAGCTGCTGTCCTTGTAGGCTGCACCCCACAATGTACACACACGGAGCAGACCTGAGCTTGCCTGTACCCTGGAGCCAAGCCCAACCAATTCACAGCCTGCTAGAGAGCTTCCCTAGCTGGCCAGGAGACTTGTGAGCAATAAAAGCAAATGTGTGTCATGTTAAACCACTGAGTTCTTGGGGCTGTTTGTTATCCAGCATTACTGTGGCAGCGAGGGACTGATTACAGGTCTCTTTAAAGAACTCCTCTGGCACTGTACATGAGGGCTGGGCTGGGCTGGCAGACCTGAAGACTTTATCTGCAAGCCTGATTTCTCTCCTCTTAAAGGGAAATGCAGCTCAGCCCAGGTAAGGGGAGATTTATCCCCAAGGTGGGGGTAAAGCTCTTCCTCAGGCCTATTTCCTGACCCTGCCTCATCAAACAGTGGGAAACAAGATGGTCCTGGTGAGGAAAGTGCTTTCTCTCTATCTTCTACATTCTGGAATTCTCCTGTATAATTTGAATCTGCAACGTGCCTAGTCCTGTGCTAGGGTTTCTTGAATACTGTGTCACCGAATCTTGAGGCTCAGGGAGGAGAGTTTCAGGGGCTTCTGTTGGTGAAGTTTGAATATGCATCCATTTATCTCAGACATTAAAACCCATGCATTTTCCAGGAGCTGCACAAAAACAATGCCCCCTAAGAATTAAGACTTTCAGATCCTGACTTGTGGACAATTATCTGTGGGCACCCATGTGGTTTTTGAAAAACAAATATCCCTTATTGCAAAATCCCCATCTGTCCCCAGAGGCCTCCTGAGTGACTTCCTCACACCACAGAAGGACAGAAGAGCACTGAGCAGACCTGAGGTCCCTTCCAGCCCTTCGTCCCACACCCTGGCCCTCAGAGCACCCACACCTTCAAGCAGAAGTGCCTTAGCAAGCCTGTGTTCTGAAGTGAGGATTTGCCCCCGCCTGGTTTGCTGTATTCCCCCATCCCTCTACTTCTTTCCTGCAGGGCACCTTCTAGGTGAAAAGCTTATGTAACAAGCACTTTAAAGTTGGCAGGAGCTGAGCTGGGCTTTGAAGACCTCCAGAAGCTATTATGCTGTCAGAAGAGAGGGTACTAATTTACTCTCTCTGAGTTGGGAAGACCTGCTCGCAGAACAATCTGGAAATGGAAATAAAATGGGCCCTTGGATTTTGCAGTATCACCTAGGGGATCTGCTTTCTTCTGCCCCTGGGAGGGGGAATAGCCTGCCTATTGGGCGGGACAGCAGAAGGGATCTGTGGCAACCAGCACATTTTACCCACATGCTTGGTGGGGAAGACAGTTGCCACTGCCCCACAATACCACCTGAAGACAGGGCAGTCTTGGCCAAATTCTTGTCAGCTGCAGTTGTTGGGAAAGAACTGGCCAACCCTGTTAGTGAGGAACAGGGGTGCAGGAACCAGAAAGGCCTGGGTTCAAAGCCATGTTCCACCACTGGTCATGTGAACATGAGTAAGTGACCTACTCTTGGGCTTCAGTTTCCTCATCTGTATAACAGATGGCTCCTTCCTTGCTTCCTGACACAGCAGTCGACACTGTACTAGGCTTGAGGGATGGTGGGGACCAAGACCCAGCCTGTGTCCTCACGGAACTGATAGCCACGCAGTGACCAAGTGACTTCTGCAGTGCCCTGCATGGAGGGCTCATGCTGAGTGCTGGCTCCTGATGGGGTGACAGCCGTATGCAGACAGCATCCTTCTCTAACATCCCAAGGGGGTCAGGCTCAACCCAAACCAGAGGCCTGCTGTGCTGTTCTTCCAGTGCCTTTTTCTTCCTGTCCATGGTGACTATTTTGTATCATGGCTGACAGAGTGCTTTGCCTCTCATCTCCCAGACCCGCCTCCCTGTGAATGGCCGGAAGGTAGAAAGGATCTTATGGACAACCTGGCATGGTCAATCACCTCTCTAGCATCCTTCTGTCCAGCCCTACCCAATACCTCTCTGCCCAAGGGCCCCCAGGAACAACAGAACTTGCTGTCCAAAGGCACATTGGATTCCACAATGGCTTTTCCTTACAGCATGTTGGACCTGTCCACTGTCACTTCCTTGGTGCCTCAGTTTCCCCAACTTACGAAATCTATAGACTGAGGCTGTGCCATTCCTTTGTGTATCTCCTAATGTACAGATTCTGGTGTCTCACCTCAGCAGACACACAATGCGCATGGTTTTAGCAAATGGGTTAATAAAGTGATCATGAAGCTAGCTTTCAGAGAGATATGCCAGAGTCCTGGGATGGAAACTGGGAGACCTCAGCCAGAGTCTAAGCTCTACTGTGTGTAGCTGGGGATAATGTGGGAGGAACCTTACCACTGCTAAAAGTTCTTTCAAATGCATGATCTCACTTGAGCCACACACCAACCAAGTTGTGTGGCTATTAGGTACAAGTCCCCTGAAGAACCCGCTACTATGACCAGGCACTGGATTCAGGGGTGCAGAGACCTCAGCAAACAGACCATTGGCCTAGAGCTAGAGTCCAGGGTGCCAATTTCACTTCTACCATGCACTGCTATGCTAGGTGACCTTGGTGGGTTCTTGGCCCTCACAGTAGGTCTCAGCCTCACAGTAGAAATCAGGCTACAGGCATGAGAAGCCAGGCAGCCAGGGTGAAACAACCTCGGGCTCACCCCCCAACCTGGGCACTTCCCTTCCCAGTGCTGGGTGTGGCCACATGCAGAAGGCCAGGGAGAAGGCTGAGGGGCAAGATGGGGCACTGGCCACTCCAGATAGGACAGGAGAGGACCCTACAATCAAGTGAGAAGGGGAAGGAAGAAGGTTTCTGAACAGAAGGCAGAAGGACAAAGCCCTCACTGTCAGAAGACCGGGTTCAAGTCCCAGTTTTGACATTAATAGCTATGTGACCATGGGCAAGTCACTTATCTGCCCTGGGATGGAGGCCTGAATAAGATTCCTGGAGTGGATTCACTTTCAGCCTGCAACACACTCTGATCACATTCATTATTTTCCTAGTTCCTCGGGTGGCCCACTCTTTGACCCTTGGCCAGGGAGAGGCTAAGAAACAAGCCATCTGTCTCGTCCTGGCTCTATGCGACAGGAAGACAAACGTGAACTGGCCTGGTAGCACGGAGGCATTTGGTAGAGAGCTGGTAGGGCTGTGAAATGCTCACCTGTAGCAGTTGTTGTTATAATTGTTATAACTTCCCAGAGCAGTCAGACAACCCAGGCAGATGGCATAGGAGAAAAAGATCTGCGTCCCAGCATCTACCCAGACCTGCGGGAGGGCACAAAGAAGTCAGCATGAAGAGAAGTCAGATGAAGGGTGGCCCCATTCTCAGAAATCCCCCACCCACACCTTACCTTCCAAAAAGTCTAAAAGCAATAATCAAACTTCCTAATCTTCTCAGGAAAGTGTTTTAGGAGTTCTGTTATTGGGGACTGCTTCATTAAATATAAATGTCCTTAATTCCAGAATTTTCCAGAGGTTATGGATAACAGTTCACTGAACAGCAAGAATTTGGATATTTATGTCCCTGCTCCAGCTACATGACCTTGGAAAAGCTACTTAACCTCTCTGAGGCTTAGTCTCCTCATCTGCAAACTGGGGAATGAACTTCCGTCTCAGGACTATTAAGAGGATTCAGGTAATATGGAATGGAAGCTCCTGGGACCCAGCTCATAAGCTAAGTCATATTTAAGCCAAAATAAGTGACTGCTTATCTTTGTGATTAAGAATACCATGAGTAAACTGTCATAGGACTCTGCCCCTGGAAAAATATCTGCATAGCTGATCTGAGCATCAGAGGTGGCAGGGAAGGGATAGGAGAAGGGGGAGGCCCACCTGTATTTTCCACCTTTCAAAACAGATGCATTTGAGGCTTCCTCTGTGGTATGTAATGGAAACTACTTTCTTAGGTTCCTCTCTGACAAAAACTGCTGTTGACAGCATGACACACACACCAGGAATTATGATGGCTTCTTTAGCAATTTTCCCCAGGCTCTCCCTGCTCTCAGCTCCAAGAAAAATCCATAGCTAAAAGCTAAATGCAGCCGATGACACTGATGCTTGAGAATCAGGTGCCATCTAGGGAACAAGACTTTGCACTAAATACAAATACCAGCTAACATTTATTGAGCACTTGTTATATGCCAGGCATTGGTGCCGAGCCCTTTGTGCATTATGGCACTTGAATATTCACAGCTACCCTATGTAGTAAGTGCTATTATTAGCCCCCTTTTACAGCTGAGGCAAAAGGAACAGAGAAGTTGAGTAACTTATTCAAGACCACACAGCTGGGAGTGGCAAAGGCAAGTCCATGGAGACTGGCCTCTAGAGATCCATGCCTAACCAATCCCAGAATTTCAGAAGTCCTCCAAGGTCATCTCCCACCCAATACAAGACTCTCTTCTGACTACTCCTGACAGAATAGTTTCTGTTTGATTACTGCTAGTGACATGAGACTCACTATATCCTGATGCAGCCTTTTCTTCTTTAGAGAGTTCTGACCATTAGAACATTTCTGAAAATGAGAAGAAATCCCCCTTCCTGAAGGTGTTCCTAGTTCTGGGGCCATCCAGACCACACCTTCCTCCTCTGTGTAGTAGCACTTTAGAGATTTGGAGAAAGCATCAGTGCCCCTTGGATCCTAGAACTCTTCCTTCTCCAAGCAAAATAACTCTATTTCCTCTCTCAGGGATTTGATTTTAACAGTACAGGTCACTCTACCCTGGATTTGCTTGAGTTTGTTAAATCATTCAACAAATACTTATTAAAATTGAAGATCATAATGCTGCTTCTCAACCTAAGAAATGATACATTTTTTTCTCCCTCAGTGGAGTGTCTTGGAACTGAATGAGGAACTTAAGGAGAGCTCTTTCATGAAGAGTGCGTGCGTGCGTGCGTGTGTGTGTGTGTGTAGAGCAGGGATGCCAGCAGATCAGAGTGGCTTGAGACATGGGGAGAAGGAAATGGAAAGATGGAATATTAAAAAAAGCTTTTTTAAGAAGTTTTGCCACAGAGGGGAGTTGGGAGATAGTTGGAAGGGTAATTTAGGGAGAAATTTTTTTTAAATGGTAGAAACTCAAGGATGCTTAAATGTTGTTAGGAAGGGTCCAGTGCAGATAAAAGTGTTAATGTAGGAGAGAAACGTATGCATTTTCAAGTCCTCCCACTCTGCCTCCGTTTCCCCATTTGCTACCTCAGTGGAATTTTTTTTTTTTTTTAATTTTATTTATTTATTTGACAGAGAGAAAGATAGTGAGAGAGGGAACACAAGCAGGGGGAGTGGGAGAGGGAGAAGCAGGCTTCCCGCCGAGCAGGGAGCCCGATGCGAGGCTCGATCCCAGGACCCCGGGATCACGACCTGAACCAAAGGCAGACGCTTAACGACTGAGCCACCCAGGTGCCCTTCAGTGGATTCTCTTTATCCCAATCCAGGGTAATGACTTATACCAGGTACTCAAATCCCCAAGAGGAAGAAAACAGGTATTTTGCCTGGAGGAAGGAGCGTTCTAGTGTCCAAGGGCACTGGTGCTTTCTCTGAATCTCTAATCTAAGACCAGTAGTAAATTGTAAGGAGGGCTAAAACACAATACAGCTGCTGCCCCAGGAAACAGAAGACCAGGTCACAGGAGCCACCCACCAGGACGCTTAGCACTCAGTCAAGGACTGCTCCTCAAGTCCCTCACTCTCGCTGGAAATGCCCCTGCAAATTAAATGTCCCTCCTCTCAGACCCCACATTGTCCTCTGAGTGTGCAGGCCAGAGTGAGAAAAATCACCAGACTTGTGGGAAATCTGGCTTCTCCATCAATTGGTTGGAGTTGGTTCCTCTCCACCCAAAACATGGTAAACAAGCGCTCTGTGAGTTTGAAAACACCAGAGAGCTTTCTATCCACACATCCCAAAAATGGGACCCCCGAAGGATGATTTTCACTTGTGGGAATTTTCCTTGCAGTCTGCTCATTGAGCACATCAACACTAAAAGGGACATCTGCTGTTTTTGCTCACCCAGCATCCATCTCCCCTTTTCAGGTAAGAGTGACCTAATTTTCCTTTGAGAAAGCACCTCTTCTCCACCGGGAGGTAGCTTCAGGCGTGGTCACATGACCCAGGCCTGGCCAACCAAAGCATTTCTCTTGGTCATAGTGATTGGTTCAGGGATGAGCGTATGATGGAAGCCAAGCCAATGAAACTTAATCCTGGGACTTTTACTGGAGCTACTGCAAATGGGACACATCTTTTTCTCCAGGAGATGCTAAGCTTGTAATTGCTGGGGATCATCACTGACCATGAGGGAAGAGTCCGTCTGAGAATAAAACCAATGCAGAGGAAAGCAGAGTCTAGAGCAAAGAAAGACTGATATTGGTGTAATGACTTAAGTACCTGGATCCAGCCATACCTGAAATGAAACCTACCCTAAAACATTTTGATTTCAGAGGCCTATAAATTCCTCTTTTTCTTAAGTCAACTTGAATTGGATTGCTGTCACTTCAGACTCAAATAATTCTGACTAGTAGCAACATTAAGTTCTTAGAAAAACCCAGGGGCTGTGAGCCCAAATCCCTCAATCAATCCTCAGTTAGTGATGAACTAGCATTTATTGAGTGCCTTCTGCATGCAGAATCCCGTGTCAGAATCTGAAAGAAGTACTACACAATTATATATAGCACTGCCTCTGTGTTTCTTGGTGAGATAAGGTGAAACATTCAGAGGACAAGGGAGCCAGTACCTAGGAGTGGTTGATGAAGGGGACAATTAACATGTGCTAGGGCAATCAAAGAAGGCTGTCTGGATGGAAGCACACCTTTAAAGACTGGAGAAAGGATGAGAGAAGACGTCTTGGGTTTGGAGGTTCATGTGAGAGGGGGATGTACTTTCAAATGATTTTTCCCTCTTGTTCTCCTACCTCTATGGTAAAAAGCCTGTCACTGTTATTCTGATGGTTAGCATTAAATCAATACTTTTATACAATTCCTTTAGTCCTCCCCCTCTGTGACACCGGGGGTTGGTTCCCAACTATGAGGAAGACCGAAATTAGCCAGTAGTCTCAGTTTCTTCTCCTTCCCTTTCCTCTAACATATAATTAGAAGAAATGCTCATTTGTTTCCAGTTGGTATGTAAGGGAAATATGTGAATTTATTCTATTTTTCATATACACACTCCATTCTTTTGCAATTTTTAATACTTGTCTGTATCTGCGTGATCAGAATGTACAATTATAGTATCTCTTTGACAGCCACTTTTTAGTGTGAGTTCTACAGGTGACTAGAAATTAATGCTCCCTCCCAGCCCTTATGTTAATTCCTCTCCAGTCAGTTTGGTTGCCTGTAGTTTGTTCTCTAGTAAGTTCTAAGGAACTTACTTACTTAGGCAAGGCTCATGGGAAATAATATTTCCTGGCTTCTTGCATGTTCATAATAGTCGACCAATGGCTTTCATACTTGAACACGTATGGCTGTATATAATGTCCTTGGTTCTCTTGTTCTTTTCCTGAGTATCTTAAATACCTTACTCAGTTGTCCCCTGGCACTGAGTGCTGCTGTAGGAAAGTCTGATACCATTCTTACTTACTTCCCCTTTTTGTCTGAATGACCAACAGGTTTTTTCTTTTCTCTTTAATGTTCAGTCATTTTGATTAGAATAAGTCTTAATGTTGATCACTCTGGGTTGATTTTCCCAGGCTTGTGGTGTACTTCTTCAAGACATAATTCAAGTCTTTTCTTTAATTTCAGGGGAAAAAAAACATCCCTGAATTATTGTTTTAGCTATTTGTTCTCTTCCCCTGGTTTGCATTTCTTCTTGGGGGACTCATTTGTATGTTGGACCTTCTTTGTCTACCTTTTATATCACTTTTTCTTTCATTCTTTAAATAATCTCCTCTCTGACTTTACTTTTTATTTTCTTCCTTTCCATTCCCTATTTACCTTATGATATTACCCATGGTGTCTACTCACCTCTTTATTCCTTCTATTTAGCTATTCCTCCTGAAATGTTCTGCTTTTCTTAAGCTGTCCTTTGGTCAGCTTTATTTTCAAATCTTTTTGGCCCACAATTTCAGCTATGCTATTATTTTACCATATCTGTTGGTTCTTCATTTCTTTTAGCTTGTTTTGAAATATTAAGTTTCAGTATGCAGCTGTTTTGTGGTCCTGTCTGTGGAATGCATACATTACCTATAGGAATACTATTATGCTCAGGATTCTTTTTAAAATAGCTTTGTATGGGATTTGACATGATCATTTTCCATTGTTCATGTGCAGGTCAGACACATTTC